CTTCTGCCGTTTTCTCTCTCTCTCAGCCCCTGCCAGCCTGCCTGAGCGACAGAGGCATCTCCTCCCTGCTCAGCAGGGTGCTTTCGGGCTCCAAGAGATAAAGCATTCCCCTTTCTTCCCATTTCACCCTCACGTAGACCTCCCCCCTACCCCCCCGCCCCCCATGGCAGGCTGGTGACAAGCTGCGTATCGGCCTCAGCCAGGCATTACCGCACCGCACGCTGAACTTCCTCCTGGCTTCCGCAGGCCTCCGACCGCATCCGACGCTGCCGCGTGTGCAAGGCGCTGCCTCGGCTTAGCCTGGCCAGGCCGGGGGCTGAGGGGAGGGGTGCTGTCTTGGGTGCTCGTTCAAAATGCCGCCTTGCCTTTGAGAAGGTGGGGTGATCAGCATGCAGGAAAACCCTTTCATCTCTCTGCATCCGCCACATCCATTCCCCCACGCTCCCTTCCCCCACATCATCCATTGGGTGCTTCAGTAGAGCATTTCAGGGTGGGCTTTTTTTGGTCTTTGTCCATCTCCGTCCTCCTTCCTCTCAGCATGGAAGTGCATGAGCTCCCTCCCAGCCCCCTCACAACTTTGCCTCTGCAGCCAGCCATCCTCCCTGAGGTGGCAGCGTGGGATGGTTATCCCCAGCGGGGAAACTGAGGCACGGAGAGTTGATGGAACTTGCTCAAAGTGACCTGAAGAGCGTGTGGCTGAGCCGCAAGGTGAAGCCAGGTTTCCCTAGTCCCAGCTCACTTTCTTAATGATAAGATCATCTCTACAGACCCGGGCAGACCCATACACAGCCCAGTTTCCAGGGCAGGGTGAGGCGGAGGGTCCTTTAGAGCCTTGGTGGTCCCAGGGGCTGGACTCTGGAGCTTGCGGCACCGTCGTTGTTTGCGTTTTTTGGCTCGGCTGCAGCCGACATCTTTGTGTGGGGAGCGCCCTGTTTGCAATGCCAGAATTCGGGTTTTCCGAAGCGGCAAGTGTTTTTTTTTGTTTGGTTTTTTTAGCTGGCGGCGAGAGGTGATAATGCTAATTCCACCCCCGGTGCAATCAAGGCAACCCACCGCTCACCGCCTCTCCCCCTTCCCCCGGCCCCTGTCACCGCAGAGCCTTCAGGAGATGTCAGATTGAATGTCTGTGCGATTCCTCTAGGCACAGGAATTCCCCAAGCCCCTGCCACTGGAAATGAGAGCCGGCTTCTTGATTCATCCTGACAGGGACTTCTGCTCCTCAGCAGAGGCAACCAGCCACAGCGCCGCTCGGGCCTGGCCCTTCCAGGAGGGGGATCGGCTGGGAGAAGCTATCTAAAAATTGCCTTTTTGTGCTGCTGAGGCAACGGGGAGGGGAGGGGAAGGCCTATTTCGGATTCTTCCCCTTTCAGGGCCGCACGTTCCCAGCGCTTTCTCAGCGCTTCAATTATTTTGTGACAGGAGCTTGTTTCTGCAGCGAGAGAATTGGCGGCTCGACCGCTGGAAGGCAAGTGTGGGTAAACAAGGTGGAAATCTCCCCATGGGGAGGCCTGGCGTGCCAATTTAAAATTAGCTGCTCCTCCAGGGGGGTGGGGAGCAGGTTAGCCCTGCCACGCGGAGAAAGGCAGGAGCTTTTCACTCGGCTGACACTCAGATGGCTGGAGTTTAGTCTGGGCTGTGCAGTGGGCTGTTCAGAGAGGCTCCCGGGTGTGTGCGGAGGGGGTGGGAGGGGAAGGAAGGAAGGAAAGGTGCTGGTTGTGTCTCTGAGGCTCTCAGCCGAAGCAGGGGCAGTTGATAACACCGGGCTTTGTAGATGGCACTTCTCAGCCATGAGAGGGCAAAGATGCAGCCACGGTCATCTTGACTCCACAGATGGAGAAACTGAGGCAGGGAAGAGTCTTGCCACAGTTCACACAGGCAGGATGCCGGCTCCGCACCTCACAAATCCCAGACCCTCTCTGCTGCGGCTGTGGCCCCAGGCTGTACGTGCTACGGAAGAAGCATGTCCTCTGTCCACATCGCCACGCTCCTTAGCCCATGTGTTGGGATACAGCAGAGGTGGGCAAAATGCGGCCCATGGGCTTGCCCCGGCTGCCTGTCATGCGGCCCTTGATGGCTTGCCAAAACTCAGTAAGCGGCCCTCTGCCTGAAAATTGCCCACTCCTGGGATAGAGGCTGAGAAGAGGATCAGGCTGAGAAGACCGCCCCCACCACACTAGTCCCAGGGTCTTGAACTGCGTCTGGGCTGACACGGGAGAGAAGAAGGGAATTCGCACTCAGGGCACCTAGCTTTGGGATGTCCAAGCATGATGCTGACAGACCTGGACAGAGCTGTAAGGCAGCAGAAGCAGGATGGGGACGGCCAGGAGTGGAGAAACTGTGTTTGCACCATGGTGGGGTTTGGCATCGTCTAGGCTGGTATGGGCCAGGGACTCTTTGGCAGTGTGGGGTACAAATGAGTGACCTGCAGGTGGGGCAGGACTACTGTACTCCCCGCAGTCTGCTGTCATCAGCCTGGTTGACTGGTTTTCTCTGCCTCAGCCTGGTTGACCTGAGACTTTCCTGTCTGCTCCCTCTACGCGTCCTTCCCAGCATGCCTCCGCTGTCCCTGCCCCCAGCCTGGGCACAAGCCTCCATCCCTCCTGCCGTGGCCATTCCCTCAACGCACATCCAGCTCGGCTGCCTGGCCTCTCCGGCGAGTCATCTGCCCGCCCGCCCCCGCTCTGCCGCCAGCATGCACGGCCCTGCCGCCTGGCGCTGTAATGTGTCTGACCTTGGGGATCAATACTGCTGTTTTGGCCAAAGAAATAACCGTGCATAACGAGATTTATAGCATCGATTCCCCAGGCCCAGGGCTCTTTGTTTTCACAAGCCACCAAGCTTGTCCCTCCCTCCCAAATAAACCGGGGCTGACAAATCAAATGCAAAGCATCGATTGCTCACTGTGCACGTTTCTGGCCTCGGGGCAGCCAGTGACCTGGACCCTCCTGCCTCAGCAGCCAGAGCACGACCTGCCTTGCCCCTCTGCCAGGGCTGGGGAGGGGGGTACCAACTGCTGGTGTGATGCCTACCAGGCATCCTTGTCGTGTGGGATTGCAACGGGGATGTGGAGCCTCCGCTGCTGTTGGGTATGTGGGCTGGGCTGGACCAGGCTAGCAGGATAGAGAGCTTTTTGCCCCCTCACTGAAGGTTGCCTGTCCAGGAAGGTTGGCAGGGGTGGGCAGTTTATTGGGCCTTTGTGAAAACAAGCCCCTGTCTAGCTCCCCAAATCGTCCCCCATTAGGTCAGTTGTTGGTGTCTCTGCCACAGCAGCCCAGGATTGACCCGGGCGCATGGTCCCTTCTGCCATGCTCCTGAGTGCTTGGGCAGGGGCACGTGGTGTGCCACCTTTCACTGCAGCTCCCTGTCCTGGAGGGTGTCATTACTCAGAGCTGACACTACCTAGATCCCAGTACATGCCTCATGTCGTGGCTTTGGCCCCCCCCAGAATAGCCCAGGGTGTGCCAAGGATCGCCCACGACTGTCAGGGCAGCAGGGAACCAGGCTGGGTTCCCAGGAAAGCTGTTGGGTTTCCAGCGCATTTCAGCTCCTGGGGATGGCACGTCCTGCAGAGAGTGACCTTTATGGGAAGCTAAGAATAGAGACTCTTGTCAGCCCATTTCCCCACATCCCCCAAGGGAAGCTGGAAAGCTCCTCCCTGTGTGTGGGGCAGCAGGAGCAGGCTGCGCATGCCTCCGCCTTGGTGCCAGGCACGAAGGTTTGAAATGAATACAGCTTTTAATGAAAACCACACTGGAGGGGTTGCCTCAGAGAGCCCCATCACCCTGTCCTGTCAACCTGCCCTTCCAGCACTTGCTTGGGGAGGGCTGGGAGGGTCATATCAAGGACCCCAGCTGGAGGGTTGACATTGTGAGCCTGAGCATTGGGGTTTGGGTCAACCTCGTGGTCTGGGAGACCTCTGTTTCCAGAGGAGGGGGTGACCCTGGAAAGCCTGGCCCCTGGAAAGGGACAGGTTTCTCCCATGTGTCCCCGGGATTCATGCATTCATATGTAAAGGGCACCAGGATGTTGGTGACAGACTGGCCTTGGCTGCGCCAGTTGGAGACACTTAGGAGGAGACTATGCATACAGGGGCCTTGTTACCCAGGCTGGCCAGCCTTCATGCTCCCTAGGGGGAAAGGGGAGAGGTTGGTTTTAGTTGGAAACAAAAGGTTAATAGACATGGGGGGGTGTTTTAATGAGACTGTGCGGAAGGCTGTGCTGGGACCTTGCCAGCATGAAGCAGCTTATTACCTCAGGATGGCTTGAATATTTTCAGGCCTTAATAAAACAGCTGAGCTTTGGCAACTTGGGGCAAACTTCAGATTTCCTTGGGTCATTGCTTAACACAGATTTTGCTGCCCTTTGTGCTGCTGCAGCAGCTATTGCACATGTGTGTCCAAAGCTCTGATGGGGCAAGACACTTGCTCTCTGACTTGCACCACTCTTCTGTCCGGGTGAGATTAGGTCTCTCGGGAGGGACTGCAGGGTACTGGATAGAGCAGGGCAGTGGGAGTCACGGTGTCTGGGCTGTGTTCCTAGTTCTGCTATTGATTCTGTGACTTGACTGAGTTGCCTCGCCTCTGCTTGTCTCAGTGTCCCTGTGTATACATGCAGTATTGGCCTGTCCCTGGGAGTCATTCCAGTGCCACCTGTGGCTGCCTGGTCTTTCCATAGGAGGCCTTGTGCTCCCTCTTCCCAGTGCCACCATCTTTACATCGGCTGCTTCCTCTCTTGCAGATTTTCCAGCAGGTGGATTTCAATAAGAAGCCAGGCCGCATGAGCTTGAAGCCCATCAACTTCGCTGTGATCCTGAAGCTCTCCAATGCCAATCTGCAGGAGAAAGCCTTCCGAGTGAGTGCAGACCCCTTCTGTGGGGAGTTTCTGCCTTCCCGAGGGGGTCACTCTGTAATGCACGGTGCAGCTAGACCAGTCACGTGTTTGTCTCTTGTGCTGTGTTGAGGGGTATATCAAGTAAGGGGGCTTGTTCCCCCAGCTCACATTCATGAAAATCCCAAGCAGAGACCAGTAGCTTTGTGCCCGGTTCAGCTAGGGCAGCTGATCCTCAAGGAGCATGTGCAGTGCATCCAGGGTCCCCTTATGCGGTGTCAGAAGGGTTCAGCTCTGCTAGCCCATGACTCCTTCCACCCAGAACCTTAATCCTGGCCTGGGAGTTCAGGACCATGGCACAGTATGCCATGTACTGGGATTTGGCTCTGATGTCATTGCTCTCTATTTCTACCCCTCTCCCCAGGATGGACTCATTGAGCAGCTGTATGACCTGACTCTTGAATATGTCCACAGCCAAGCCTACAGCATTGGGTTCCCAGAGCTGGTCTTGCCAGCAGTCATTCAGGTAAGGTGCTGTATGCCAGGACAGACTTGCCCCTTGTAGTTACATGGTACATCTGAATGGCACAGGTAGCTGCTGGTGTCCCCTCTGCCCATGATTTTTCCCTTGGCATGTGTCTGTTTAGGTGGAGTAGAAACATGGAGATTTGGGGACAACAGGAGAATGGGCTTTAATGAGGAAGAGGCTCTGTGCTTTGCCTGTCTTTTGGGAGACATGATGGGGTGTGCAATTGCTGCAGGCATGTTCATGACTAACACATGCACATTGGCTTCTGGTACACCAGGTCTGTCCACACTGCTGTGTTGTCCCAGGACAGGCCTGAGCTGGGATCTAGGGCCTGGGAAGAGTAATCCTCCTGTGCCCCAAAGCCCCTCCTGCCCTCCCCACAGGATAGCATGGTCGCCCCCAGCCTTTCCTGTAGTTCTTTGACCTGGGGCCTCCCACTCCTCACACATGCCACCATCTTTCCCTGTGTCCCTGCACATGTCATACCTTGACAGCAAGCTCTCAGTCCGTTGCGTATCTCCCACAACATTGTGCCCCCGCTAACACACTAAGCTCTCTGGTCACTGCATTGCTTCCTCATTGGGACTGATGCATATTAGACGGGCTAATTCCTCGTTAATAGGAGGATGGTGTTTAAGAAGCAGCGACTCCTTGGTTCTGAGCAGCTTCAACTCCTGCGTTTGTGCTCCCCTGCCCCTCACTCATCCACCACCCAATTTTGATCGCTTGAGTGCTGGATGCTGGAAGAGACCTGGCTTAGCAGTGCTGCCCTACTCTTGCCCTGTGAGCCCATGCATCATTGCTTTGTGTAGGTGCCATTGGCTCATGTCTCTGTGTACCTTGTTGCTATGATGCCTCTGGCTGCAACGGGAGTGACTTCCTGGCTGGGGACCGTTGGCTATTTGGGGGGCTCTTTTGCTCATCTCTGCAGCATGGTGCAGACAAGCCTCTATCAGTGCCTGGTTGTTGGCTGGGGTCCTGTGCCTCGACAAGGCCCTTGCCAAGCCGGTGCTGCGTTGCATTGGCTGATAGGAGGTGACGGGCTCTCCCTGCAGGAGGAGAGCTGTCCCCGTGTTCACCCGTTGATAAGCGGAGGAGGCACAAAGCCTTTTGCTTCCAGCCAGCAGCTGCGGAGAGCAGCGGAGCCGCCGGAGCCACCGCGTGACTGGAATGTCTGCCGGCCCCCGGCTGCCTGTGACTTCCAAGCATGCCCCCAGCCCTGCCCGCATTTCTGCGGATAGCAGATTCGCTGGATAGCTTTTGTGGCCATGGGTAGCTGCAGCCTCCAGAGTGTCTCTTGGGGGCTGGGGTCGGCTTCCTGAAGGCTTGGGGTGCCGAGGTGGCAGGCTGCGTCCCTGGGACACTTCCAGAACAGCTATAAAAATCCAGCTGTCCTGCCGCCTTCCTCCCAGTTTGCTCACTGGCACCCCTCCCGCCTCGTCGCGGGGGTCGGGTTCCAGCTGGCACGGGGCACGCTCATCGGCCTCTGGCAGGCGGCTTGGGGAGCAGCCCGGCTGTACTGACTCCAAGCTGAACTTTTACAGCCTCCTTGCCTGGAAGGCAGGAAGCGCAAGGGAAGATCAAAGGGAGGCAGTGCCAGGAGGAGGGAGATGCTTCAAAGGCTTCTGTTCTGCCTGGCGGGTTGGGAGCGATGCAGGGCTGCCACCCCGACGCCTCCTCAGGGCAGGGCTGGACTCTAGGGCATGGGCTGGGCTGGCTGCTCCTGAGCCCCACGAGCTGCCTGATGGTCGGGCTGGAACGAGCGCTCCTCTGGCAGGCACCCAGCAACGCAGACACGGAGCTGGCGGGGAGAGACGCCACCATGCAGGGGGATGCCGGGGAGAGGGCGTGATCTGCAGCCAGACTGCTGCTTGCCAAATGCCTGGCCTGGTCCTCTCCCTCCGTGCTTTGGTGTGGGGATCGGGCTTGGTTTGGGCTGCCCGGGACACGCAGGCCCTGGCTGCTCCAGCTCATTTATAGCATCTTGTGTTGTTTCCAGCAAGGAGAGCTGGGTTTTTGCTGTGGTCTCCACTGGTATAAACCATTGGTGTTTAAGGCTGGCAGGTTGACAGAATCAATCCTGCTAATCACTGGGCTGCTTAGCTGGGAACTGGTGTGAGATGTCGCTCGTTGCACATGCACAGCCTTTAGTCTGGTGGATACAGCCAAGCTGTTTGGCAAAGTGGACATGCACACGCATGTGCACACGCACACCCCTTTTCTGCTCCTGCCTTCCTGGCCCTCTCTGCCTCCAAACACAGGAGTCAGGGCAGGAGCAAAATCTCGTCCCCTCTTGTTACTATCCACAGCAAGTTGTGGTGGGACAGGGGCAGGGGAGGGGATGAGCGCGTGATGCTGAGCTGCATAGATAGTGCTGGAGATTTTGCAGGATTTCTGGCGACACTTCTGCGACGAAAGAAAAATGATAATGTACGTTGTGGCGGATGAAATGGATCTGGGGCTGCAGCTGCTGGGATCCAGGGAGATAAATAGAATGACAAATGCGTCCCTCGGTGAAGATAAATATGCAGCACCTATGAAGATACATATTTTAGAGGGAATTGGGGGGAGGGGTTTGACTAGCAGAAGAATAGTTTTTCTGACCAAGTTTTTCTAAGCAAAACGTTGGGAGTTGCGCTGGGGGGGGCATGATTTATTTTAGTCCTCTGCCTTCTGAGTTTAGTTTGGATAATGCAGGGGTGTTCATCACCTTGGGGGTGTGAGACAGGGACACAAGGGAGGACCCTGCTGTGGGACACCGGGAAATAATGTGTTTGCTCACATATATCACTGCCCCCCGGCCCCCCCCCCCCCCC